CTCTCCTGTGAGGCATTTGTTATTGCTGTTAAAAGCAACTGAAAATTGACGCAATATATGCAAGCGCACACCTCATGCTCGGGACTCTTTTTTGCCCATTTTGGTCGTAGGGAATAGAACTTAGAGATGCCTAGTTCTCGATGGGGATGGTCCTTCCTGAACAGCTAGTAAGCTTCCTTATTAGAGCTGGTCATAAACCTTTTTACGACTTTGGTCTTGTTGTCGTTGATCATGGCTTTGACGACGTCCATTTTGTTGGGGCTTTGAATAGAGCATGCGAGGTCGTCGCGTGTCTAGTACTCAAGTGCAACTCTCACGTCTTCGGCATTCGCCTTCTTCCCCATGTAGGGATCAGAGGTTGCCCGTACACCACCTTTACGCTTCAGTTTTCTTGTTTGATCAATCATGTAGGCAGTCGCTTCTGGCACCAGACGCAATATTTCTTTTTTCGAGATGCTTGGTGGCAGAAGCGTGTACAATCGCTTGCGTTCCGGGTGGGAACTGCATGCCTTCAGCGATTCGCGGAACGCGTCAAACCACTCCGCGCAGTGCTCACAACTGTCTTCGCCGGTTTTCATGCCATAAACGCCTGACAGCTTTCTTCTAATCGAAGTGTTAAGGGGCGGGAAGAAGAGGGCAGGGCTTGTTTTTTCTTCAAATATGCTTCGCGCCTTTTTGTTTTAATGGTTTTACGTGGTTTCAATGGAGTTACCGACGGACTAGCAGCACACAATTCTTGACTCACTTCAGCCAAAAACTTCACCAGAGTCCCGGAAAGAAGAGTCTGATGTACTCACGTTGTGAGGAGTAGCAATCTCATTCTGGAAGTATTTGTAGCAATGTTGGCATAAAAGGTCAGATTCGTTCACTGTCCGTGGAGCCAGTAGCTTTTCCAACCGCACTTTGTTGAGTCTCCCTACCGATACGAGGTGCTTATCGCTATCTTTTCTTCTTGTGTCTCCGTAGATAGTCCACACAGAACAATCGCACGGTGCTGAATCGTTGGGCCATGGCTGTTCGATTTGACACTAGACTCTTACTCGCTTCGTAAATGACAGAACTTCAAACGTCCTCGCAAACGCCTATTTGAGAGGTTCTGAATTCCTCTCTCCCGGCTCCGAATATCTGGTCAGAGTTCGGAAAGAAAATGTCCTTGTGGTTATCAACTTCTGTCTTCCATTGTAGATATAATCGGTGCGTCGCGCATGGTTAAGCTGGTGTTGTTTGTTTGTAGTACCACTTATTGAGCACCAAAGACATTGAGTCTACTGTAAGCATAGCGATAGTCAGCCGTCTTTTTTTTTTTACCTTCTAAAAGTTTTTTTTTATATTGTAATGTTTTTGGGGTTTTCGGTGTTGGAGTGTAGTTTGTGTGTGTGTGTGTGTGTGTGTGCGCGCGTGTGTGTGTGTGTGTGTGTGTGTGTCTGTGTGTTTGTGTGTGTGTTGGGAAGGGGGTTACGGCAGTAAAATAGAAGAGGGGGTTAGGGGTTCGGTCTCGGTGGGTTCGCATAGCGTGGTGCAACCCATCTGTTCAGGTCCTTGGGAGAGGTGCCCGTTCCCGTTGCTGTCCTTAACCTTGGAGTGATTTAGTTTGTCTGTTTAGGTTCGGTCAAGTCTTTGCGGTCGCATGTCTTGATCTTCCCTATTTTATTTCTTTCCGCGTGGTCATGCATTTATTGTCGTTCTTCTTGTGAATAAGTTCAGCTGCGTTTGAGAGTTCGTTTCGCACTGTCCGTTATTTTTGTTTTTCCTCGTCTCTGGGTTTAGATTGAAATGTTTCCTGACCAACTGACCATGCATATTTTCTCTTACAAATACTCTCGCCTTATTTTTCCGTAACTGACTCTTCACAGCTTTGGGTTTCAAGGCAATGTGATGTGCATGCTTACGATAACTACCGCAAGCAGTGACGTTCGCAAGCGTTTCTTGCTCGTGTTAAGGGGCGGGAAGAAGAGGGCAGGGCGGGGGAAGGAGGGGGGGGGGGGGGGTACAGTCACACAACGATAAAGCAATGCTCGGAACAGCACGACTTTCCGCTCTCTACGACAGAGTCCCGCTTTCCAGCTTTTGACGCTTCCATGAAGGGGACGTTATGCGGCAATGCCGCTATAACGAGACTTCGGCTCGCTCCGAGTGAAGGTTTGTCGCAGCTTTTCCCGTTTGGAGGTCATATGTTACTCAATGTTTTGCCATCACAGGTTAGTTCATGTCACTGCAAACTGCCAAGGGGAGTTTAAAAAAAATAAAAGATGGAGTTTTTTAAATATCGACGTCCAATCTTGACACATTTTGCGAAATCAGCCGCATTTCTGCGTTAATAACAACAAGACAATTAAGGGTGGGCATATTATCTTTATACATTCGTAAATATAATTCAAAGGCGCGCATTTTGATATGTTTTGTGAAGTATTATAGAAGATAGTTTATTTGCTAAAAAATTGTGAATATTGTCACGGGTGGTGACCAAAAACAATAGATGAACAGGAAGAAATAAACGTTTAATGTGGCGAACTTGTGCCAAAAATAAAAGAGTACAAAAGATAATAACAAAGCGTCGCGGGCGTCGAAGTCGGCGAAACCGCAGGATCGAGCGCTGGGGCGAGACTGACTGCAGATCAAAAAAAATTGGCTTGCTCGTTATGTTTATACAGCCTTGATGGAGATGCACCTCAACGGGTAATCGGTCTCTTAGCTGTAGATGAGAAATTTAGCCAGTGCGGTACAACCGCTAACCTGGGATTTTTAACGTGCATCACGCAGTAGTGATCACACGAACGCGTGCCGGTACGAAACTCATCCAGATCGAAACGGGCGGGGGCGGCGGGGATCGAACCCAGGAGGTTCCCAGCGCAAGCTTTCGCTCCACGCTCCGAGCTGAGACGCGTTAGCCCACTCGGCCACTTCCTCCCTTGACTGCAGATCAGCACGCGGAGTCCCTTATGTACGCGAATAGACCGATCTCCCGAGGAGTTGCGCGACGCCACCGCTGCCGCGGTGCATTCTGGTACCTGTAGTTCTCCCCAATTTTCCGGCCGCGTCGGCGCGCATTGTACGCCCGGCGTTTGGAAATTTTCGGGTTAGCACGAGACTTTTAGCCAGGTGTTGACTCATGGTTTTCAATCGGTGGCTTCAGATGTTGTATGCCACGGAGCTATAATAACAGCACCAGGCAAAACGGCCTCGGATATTATGTCTTCCAGCAAGAAAGAAGCATGGCAAAGAAAGGACGACAGAGCCGGACAGAGCGGCAGGAAAAATAGCGTTTTTCGATTTGTTTCGCGATTCGCTTCATAATTTATATCCAATTATTGCACGTCAGCTAAAATATGTAATATTACAGGGCACGAAACATACAGCGTGCCGAAGTGTTCCGTAAGCTGGAATCTCTCTGACCATTTGCTCTGTAGCGGCCTATTCGTTGGTCTATATCAAATAGGACCTCCGCACTGCTTTGCGGAGGCCGTTTTTAATACACTTCACACTAAAAAAAATCAGTTCGAAAAAGAACTTTTTGGAGTTCTTCGGCTTGTCCATAATTTGCACCCTAAAAGGTTCTTTTAAGCACCTTATAAAAAAGTTCTTCACGAAGAACCTTTAAGGAGTTCTGTTAAGTTCTCTTTTCAATGAAACAGTTCTTCGTGAGGAACTTTTAAAAAGTTCTTTTCAGCCCTCCTCTCGCTAAAACAGTTCTTGGTGAAGAACCGTTTAACAGTTCTTTTAAGTTCTCTTTTCAATGGAAGAGTTCTTCGTGAGGAACGTTTAAAAAGTTCTTTCCAGCCCTTCTGTCGCTGAAACAATTCTTTTAGTTCTCTTCCGGATGAAACGATTTTTCGTCAAGTACCTTTGGAAGGTTCTTATAAGCTCTTTTTTAATTAAGCAGTTAATATTATGAAGAACCTTTATTGAGTTATTTTAGGGTCTAAGGAAATAAGTTCTAAATAACCTTTCAAGGGAACTTTTATGTTGAGTGTGCGAATGCCCCCTCGGTTCAAAAAGAAGAGCGTTATTTCTAGGTTCAACACTGCAATGAAAGTCATTGTGTACAGTGGACTTCTTGAATCTAGAAATATCGCTGCACTATTTGAACCGAGGGGTATTCGCACACCCCAACAGTAAAGTTCCCTTGAAAGGTTATTTAGAACTGTAGAACTGTTATTTCCTTAGACCCTAAAAAAACTCAGTAAAGATTTTCATGATTTACTGGTCAATTGAAAAAGCTTATAAGAAGCTTGCAAAGGTATTCGATGAAAAACCGTTCCATCCGAGAGAGAACTAAAAAAAAAAAAAAAAAAACTACAAAGGATATCATTTCAACCACTACTTGCTCACCCCTAACTTTTAAGTTACTTTTCACCGAAAGAGATTTCTATTATGAACCTTTTCAATGAAAGGTTTGTTGCAAAGACCACTTTCGAGTTAACTTGAATAACTTATTCGCAAAAACCGACTTGGGCAGCAATTTTAGGTGTACAGTAGCTCTTTTGTAAACCGCTCTTTATCGACTGTCTCGAACTGTTCAAAGAGGCAATATACATCACCTAGACGTTTTGTAAACGTCAACAGACGTGCAAAACAGGCTTTGAAAGACAAGGCTCCTTTTCTGGGGCACTACATCTACTGCAGAACCACTGGCTTTAATGGGTATTCAAGTACACATTCATCGTTGATACTCTTGTCAAGACCAAGTATGAGGTATAGGGAATAGAGGTAGGAGAAACAAGAGATGCTCTGCAACGTCCAACCTGTCAATGGTGAAATGGAGACAAGATACCGCGGTTCACAGAAAAAAACATACGGACGTTTATTGAACATGACTAGATTGAAACGTAGCACATTAGTAGAATGCTTCTCTGCCTAAAATATCAATCAAATAAAACACGGCCTAGTGGAACACTGAAATGAAACGCTGAAATTTTGGCCTTGAGAAAATTTAGACAACGTTCTAGATGTCTGATTTCATATGTGGCACGTTAGCGAGCTTAGTTCTATTATTTGACTTTTAAAAAAAGAAAACAAAAACTGACTTGAAAAAACTTCAAAACCCTTTCTTGTTGAGATATACTTTATAGATAAAAATGCTATCTTGGAGACGAGATGGACAAGGTAACCACTCAGGTGTGGAAGCAGGAAAAATGGAATTGCGGCAAAACAAGACTTGCCCCTTCCTTCTCATGATGCCTCTCTCCAACCACACACTGCGAGGGCGCATGGCACAAACAGGTGTTAAACCCAGACAAAGATCACAACGGCACTGCAAGTAGGCAGCTGCAAACCAGGCTGTTAGCTGAATTTAGACAGTGCCTAAGTCTCTTAGTATACCCTTTTTAGGTTTGAAGTAACTCAAAACGAGACAAAACTGATCCACCAATCAGGCTGTCTATTGCTTTGAAAGTTTAGTGGGAAAGGCGTTAGAATTACCACTTCGGGAATGCAGAGGGCCGGGTACAGCTAAATAACATCAGTGATGGTCTTGCCAGCGATGCCTACCCTCCTTGCCTGTGACGTCTGTGCTATTGTTTGAAGTAAGAGCTTCACATCTGTTGCAGCCTTGGGGCATTCAGCAGCCATAATCTCTATGTGGTCTGCACAGTTGTCGGTACCTTCTACTTCATGATGTGGAACCTGAAAAAAAAAGTCAGTGCCATGCACACAATATGAGATTTGAAGAACAAAGTTGTGTACCAGACGAACTCCGCAAGCCTTATTTTATGTTATGTAAAAAATTGTAATTTAAACAGTGGGTGCACGGGTCCAAATAGATCAAGTTATATGCACTCTATATTTTAGCTATAATAAGGCAGTTCAATGCAGCAAAAGAGATTTACCCGAGAGACAACCAGAGAGTATTTGATATATCTGACAAGCCATGCAACTGTGACTTTTACAGATTACATTTACAGCAATGTGGTTCGTTCAAGTCACTTTGGAGCACCTGTTGCAGTAGTCAGAAGTCCATTTAGGAGTAGCCAAAAGTATGTTTAGGAGCAGCTAAAAGATGTATTGGCAAGTAAGCAAAAACTTCGTCTTTATTCTTACCACTGTGAATATTATCATACGGTTAATGTGTTGGCATGCTCAACTAAAACACTATCTACTTTGCCCTCCCACTCTTGTGCAACCTTTTGTTAACATCAATTGCTTGACAAGTTTGATTCTCTCGAACAATTAAAGCACTATCTGCTTAGTTGCACATAGAAGCACCAGACATGGCAACAACAGTCTGAGTGATGATGGATAGTATGAACTGCTGTGAATGGTGGTTTTAGGTACAGAATAAATAGTAAAGCAAACAGTATGTACCACTAAAATAAAATAATGTAAAAACAGAAACATTTTGAGTACTCAAAGTGATGTTTTGTTACACTTCTAAAGGTTATAATAAAACAAAGATTTCGTCATTTGATCGTGAATATCAATATCGTATATTTAAGACTCCATAACAAGAATCTGCATGCGAAAAATAAATATGCCTTTTAAAAACAATCAAGCCGAATTTGGTAAGGTCATTCCCAAGCTTCTAACCACTCCTCTGGACGGGCAACTGAAAACTGTATAAAGGTTCCTCTCATTTTGGCAAAATGTAACAGGCTAAGCACTTTGAAGCATATGGTGCAGCAATTATATAACTACATTTAGCTGAATAACTATTTAAGAACAGTTCCCGCTTCCAGGTTAGTTTTATTTCTTTTAACTGTATCAGAACCAGGTTGTAACAAACTTACCATGGTCCTTTTGTATTTTTGAATACAGTCACTGCTGGCGTTTTTCCTTTCGCTTTCGCCCACCACCTTTGCCATAGTTTTCCTTGTTTTGCTGAACTTCTGGCAGATGCATAAGAAGCAACCTTTCTTTTTTTCATTTTGTTAATAAGGCTGTGTCGCAGTGAATCCTACAGTGAAACTGATGAGTAGCAAGCCTGTTACAATGCATATAATTAACTTCGATAAAAGCATTTCAATTGTCAGTATGAAAAAAAGTTCTTGTAAATCTTACGCAGCGTACAGTGGAGTCGGCCAGGAAGGGGTATGCCGCTTGGAGGGCACGCATGACATCATCTAGCTAAGACCGACTTGGCGTTCTGGAAAGAAAAAACAACAAATGTTAGCCTCTATTTTAAGATATATAAGTGAGGATTTCAAATGCTGCTGCTTTCGGAGTTTTGCTCAGAATGTCGTCTGCCAACGCAGCGACCAACTTTGTTCGTGCTTCATTTCGCTGTGGTTGAAGGAAACGTTCACTCTTTTCACACAGCCTCTGTAACAGTAGCGGGGGAAATTCTGGAAGAGTATATCTCTGTGGCCATACGTTTCTCACAACCTCTGTAGACCAAACTGAGGCTGCTGTGTTACTAGCACGAGGCACATTGGAGGGTCCAGGCAAGCTGAAAGATAACAACGTAATTAGTGCATCTCGAATTTCACAAATGGAACGCAAATTTCCAATTGGGTAATGTGCTCCACCTTTCTTTTATGTCTCCTTTTAGCTGTTCAATCAGTTTTAGCAGTCTGACTCGCAGTTTCATAGCAGGGAGAAACTGCTCAATCATCCACACTGACAAGCTTAGTAATGTCTTCCCATCAACCTCTTCTGCATAAAAGGAGATAAAATATTGCACATACAGATTATATCATACATATGTGTTATATATGTTAATGACAGAAGTTATACCACATTTTTCTACCCTTTTATTTCGATGGTGTACACAAATATAGTATAAAGAGAGTGAAGATGGGGGGAGGGGACAAGCATAAAGCAGTGGCATGCATCACCCCCACACTGCTTTTATTTTCTGGTTCCCCAGATCCTCCCTCGACACCTTTACGTTTCATGTGCTTCCTGAAGCTCTCAAATGCAATAAAATATCGTCCAGACGGAGAGCACTCACCCAACTTGCAAACAGAATTAAAGTCCGGGTCACCAAGAGTTATCTGGACATGATTTGTCAGATGACTCCCAATGTGGTAGCACTGCGAAAACTTTCAACACTCGTATCCGCTCATGCTGAAATCGCACAAACAAGGACAAATCTCACCAATCGCCGAAAGACCCGGAAGCACTTCCTCGCTCACAACACATGTCCAAATATCCACACTGCACTACAAGTTTCATAAAAAAATATTCGCGTGCACATGGAAGTATGGAAGGATAGCGCCATCGAGACCCCGATCAGTCACCGTTACCGGCACTAAACTTGGAAACTGAAAACGCGAGACGAAACCGACGCCGCCAACCAACACAAACAAAGAGGACGGAGCATTCTGCTTACCTTCGAATTTTTGGGCGAAGTCTCCAAGGTTTTGCTTTGTCAACCAATCTGACACGTCCTGGAGCTTCCATCTAGACACATTTGTATGTTCTCGCACCGTGACCCCACCCATTGAATGCCGCCGACAGAACCAGGTCGAAACAGTAAACAGCGAACCCCGAATTGTTGGCCGCCGTTACTTTCGCCTTTACAAGATCTCACGCAGGCAAACGGCGCGGCGCAGCGGCACCACCGGCACTCCTTCGCGCGCAGCCGCTTCTTCGAAAACAAAACAAACAAAAAAAAACAAAAACGTTATGAAGAACTTCTTTCCAGGCAAACGTTCTTCATCGCCCGGTCGCCTTTCTGGTGCGCCAGGGGGCGACACTGTTTGAGCGAAAACAGTTCTTCACGAGGAAAAAGAGTTCTTGGGGCGGCGAAGAACCTTTCAAGAACGGATTTTTTTTAGAGTGTTCTTACTCGGTGTATTTTGGTTGTTATAACTGGTATTGCGACGCCATGTTTCAAGCACAACTGTGCTTTAAAAGATCAGGACAGTCACTAAAAAAGAGCAGCGATTCCCGATATGCACCAATTGATATAAAAACGTTTTTTCAAAAGCAGCCTTCAGTTTTTTTTTTTTTTTTTTTTTTCCATACCTACGCGAAAAGATTACATAATGCAATTTAGAAGTGCAACACGTACTTACCGCCAAAAATGTAACAAACGAACCTCATCCATTTTGTGGTGGTCTATTAGGCTGGTGTTACTGATCCATTCTGCATTAGCAGTGCCAGTCGAGACCGCAGAAAAAAGCTTCCCCCGTCAGGCGACTGTTAGTGTTCGGATCTTGCGCAAACAAAATAAAACTGAATGGAAACTGTGCACGAAAAATCATCTCCACCCCAAGCTTTCAGGTGTCTGGCATGGCTGCTTCTTTTTGATAAATGCCAATCATTACGGCGCGTCAGGCATGGCCTTTCTGTAGATCAGTTCTTTGTGTGCAGGCTTCTCCCGCTGTTTATCTGTACTCTGTCTCACAAGCTGTCAACCAGAATGAAACTTCTAGAAAACTATCGCTGACCGAGAAAGTCTATTCAGCTACTCTTACTTGATGGCTGATTAAACGTTATGCACAAGACTAAGCACCACCAAGCTCAGTTTTTCATCGCATTTGATGCTGTTCCGTGGTGCTACACCGAGCCGATTGTCCCTCGAATTTTCTTGCTCTTTGCTATTGCACTAGATGTTCACTTGTTTGCAAGGTAATTGAGACGTCCGAGAAGTCGGAATGCTCGAGTAGTGGCGCCGTTGTTTTTATGTTTTGTTTTTTCCGCGGCCGCAGTGGGATTACCCCGTGAGCGGCATGGGCTTACACGTTCACGAAGACGCAGAAGCAGACGACGACGAAGCAGACGACAAGGCGATTCTAAAGCGATAAGACGACAAACTGCTTTTCTGCACTTGCTGAGGAAAGTAAGGCATCACAAACAACACAATCTTATGAAGTAAAAACATGCAAGAGAATCAAGGTGATACCGGGGCGTGCCAAATGATACACTCTAAGAAAAAGTGAGCACCTCCTCTCGTCATCGTGCGTTTTGACGGCTGTAACTACCCCACAGGCTTACTTAACGACCCACTGGGCTCCAGCCATTGAGAGTTAGCACCCTGTTGGCAGGTGACAAGCATGGGGTAGTCACGTTTTATAAACTCTTGAATTGAACATTCAAGTGCATGCAGTCGTTCAATAGTAAAAGTCACTTCAAAAATCTCAAAAGGTACTTGAAACTTGTTTTCTTTGTGCGTTGGTTATCATTTATTCAAATTTGAACCGGTCGAAACAAGCGTGTGGCTCAGTTCACCTAAACTGGCAGAAAACAAACAAGTACAGGCAACCTTGGTAGGCGCCTGCTAAAACCCGAGGCAGATAAAAAGTATCGCGGTTGTCCTTTTTGGTTCCGTCGCGGGTTTTACCATGTGCAGCAGTAAACAGCTGGCAGCTGGCGTCGTGCTCGAGGAATTTAACCAAATCTCTAGAAAAGCACAGGAAGCTACGCACAGGCGTGAGTTGACTTGAATGTTCGCCGGACGAGATACTCTCGTCGTCTTTTATTGTGCGGTTCAGGGGGGCTATGTTGCGCTTTTTGCACTCCCAGGAGACTATGGAGAGGGAAGTGACGTCAACGACACAGCAAACGCAGATTGGATGTTGATTTCGTCTTCTTCTGTCAACATCCAATCTGCATTTGCTGTGTCGTTGACGTCACTTCCCTCTCCCTAGTCTCCTGGGAGTGCAAAAAGCGCAACATAGCCCCCCTGGGATCATGTCCGTGTATTTCACTATTTCTCTGTCTCGAGGTACATGATTCGCCTTCTCTGGTTCATTTGGCACATTTCATCGAGCATACTCGATAAAAAAATGCTTCAAACAAGACCGGTTCAGACACTAACGTTTGACAGCGTTGCGTCGAGAACCGAAAGCCACTCACCGGCACGTTTGTGCTTCGTATCAAGCGTGGAATCCAATTCAAGGAATCATCTTGGCACGCGATATAAGCAGCATTTGATTTCTTGCTGCCGCAACGCAGTCAGACGCACGCAGTCAAACACTGCTGTCTCAACCAGGATTTAGATAATTTAGCATACGTATTTCGCGTTCGTTGCAGGTGAAGGCACGGGCCCGAAAGCAGCAATTCTGCACTGTCTTCTTGGCGCGAGCGCGAGCGCACAGAACGGATCTTTAGCGAAAAGAAGAAAACTGAAATCACGCTTCGGGGAGGACCGGCGGACGGGCTTCGCTAAAATCACCTGCGCGTGCTCAGTGTACTCAACGTGTACCCAACCGCCGCTAAAGTCAGTCTGGGTATGTAAAAAAAGAAAAGAAAATGCATCAGTGTGTTCAGAAAGTTGTGATTTCAGAAATTGGCTTCGATTATTAATACACTTAATTAAACAGGCTTCTGTATACTTGAAGTGTAGGCAAGCGAGAAAACGAAACTGTTCAAAGTGTGACATGTAGCAACTATTCAAATTTATTTATAACCTGCAGTTCACTTTTGCAATGGCCCTACATTAGAGATACGAGCGCTTTCCTAAGGGCAGTAGAGGAAAAGAATATATACGGCTAAATCTTGCACAGTCTTTTCGTATTTATGCAAAATATGACAGTGGTCACCATCCTAATCGGTCACACAAAATACAGTAGTATATAAGCTGGTGGTGTCGACTAGACGTCTGTATAGAAAGTAGGGTGTCAATATGTGATGTTGTATCTTGTGCTGTTCCTGATTGCGTTGATGTATAAAATGCTGTGATGTCCGTATGTCGCGTATGAGTGAAGTGTGGCGTGGCATATGTATGTACATACGGCATTGTCTGGCGAGGCGCTCAGAGCAAGTATTTTTTTCTTTAGTTTGAGCGCTGTCCGTTAGTGGGCTGCTACGTGTCGCCGCCCAATTCAAGGAGTCGCGCGTTTACGTGTCTACTTATTTGAGTGAAAAACATGGAGGCGTTGCGTTCCATGGCTCCACGTAGCAGCCACAAAGGGTTCGGTCTGGTTCCGTCCTCGGCCTCTCGTCCAAAGGGGATCAGTCCCGTAGCCTGTTGAATCGGTGTTCCGTGCGGTGAATAGCGCCAAGTGCGTGCACAGACGCGGTGAGGATTACCAGGGACTTGAAAGTGGATAACAAATGCTAACAGGTGAGCAGGAGCGTTGAACGATCGGAACCGACGCCGCTTAAATCGGTGATGCTTCGCCTCGCCGCTGTCAATTGAAAACGCCGGATCACTTGCGGCAAGCTCAGCAAGCAGATGCTCTGTTCAATAAAGACATCATTCCATTGGGCGCTATTTTGTTTCCTTCTTTAAATGTTTTCTGGCCGCGAAGTAAATGCAGCCGGCCTCGCGAAAGCAATCGCGAACAGACCCCTCGAATGCCCCCCCCCCCCCCCCCCCCCCTTCATATCGTCGCCCCTACTCGTATTAGGTGCGGTGCCGGTGCTTCGAGGCGCGTTTCGGAGTGCTTTGTGCGCACGGAAGGCATCGAACGGGCGTACGCACTTGAGAATCGTATTTTAGCAAAAAGCAGTCCAGCTCGCTAGGCCTTACTCGTATTGCTCCACTGTCGCTTGCCAGCCGCCATGTTGCTTTTGGGGGTGCTCACTATGATTACCTGCTGATTGCGTGCCGTGTGACTGCCCATGGGGTTGTTAGTGTAACGAAGGGGGGGGGGGGGGGGGGGGGTAGCGATATCTGTGACGGCTTCTGACGACCCCAAGTGTAGTACCCTACGACAACCCTTTTGTTGAGAGTGTAATCTATGATGATGTACGTACGCGCAGCCGTATGTTGCCGGGAAGCCGGGAAGGGATGCCTACAAGTAGCATGGCGGCGGCACCACTTCCGGAATGCGCGCGCTTGCGCAGTTTGCTTGGTGACATCGGTCTATTGGGTTCTGGAACAATCCGCCTATAGATTGTTCGGCGATGGAACATTCAGAACTCGATCTGACGAGAATGTTCTCGAACTCACGAGAACGCAATGAAAGAACAAATAAAAGAGCATTCCACTGACTGGAATCGAACCCAGACTTTTTGCACGACAGTCAAGCACGGTAACCACTCGGCCACGCGCGCGGTCGCCCGCTGACGAGCGTGGCATTACTCCCCCCTTTAAAAAGGCATCGTCTCGATGCCACGTAAAAGGCAACAAAACAGAGCGAAACAAACAAAAAATGGGAACCTACGGAGGCTCGCAAAACACAATCCTATCGAGCGGTGCACAAGATCACAGTTCGCAGTCTTATCGCGCGTAGTACGGCTTGAGGCGCACGACGTGGACGACTTCCGGTCGTGGAGAGCGGCGTGATGAAGTCCGTGTTCCGTCGGGCATCACCTCGTAGTTCAGATCACCGAGTCGACGAAGTACTTTGTAGGGTCCGAAGTAGCGCTTTAGGAGTTTCTCACTGAGACCACGGCGGCGGATCGGTGTCCAAACCCACACCCTGTCTCCGGGCTGGAAGTGGACGTCCCGACGACGAAGGTTGTAGCGGCCAGAGTCGACACGTTGTTGGGCTTGAATACGGTGTCTGGCGAGCTGGCGGACTTCTTCTGCCCGTTGGGCAACCACCTGGGCGCCGTCGCTTCCGTCGAGAGCCGGTTCGTGGGGTAACATCGCGTCCAGCATTGTCGTTACTTTACGACCATGAACCAGTTGGAAGGGTGTCACACCGGTGGTCTCTTGCACGGCCGTGTTGTATGCAAATGTGAAGTACGGCAACACCTCGTCCCATGTCTTGTGCTCCACGTCGACGTACATGGAGATCATGTCGGCGATGGTCTTGTTGAGTCTCTCCGTCAGCCCGTTGGTCTGCGGGTGGTACGCCGTTGTGCGCCGATGGCTGGTGTGGCTGAGACGAAGGATTTCTTGCG